TTGGTCAGATCCTGCCTGTCCTCAGTTGCGGAAAACAAAATCAAGGTATAGATCAGATCGTATCTACCAGGAAGCACAATGCCAGTTCTGCTTTTGGCCTTTGGGTTCATTAAGTTTCAGGACGTGGGCTCTGTGCTCTCACCTGGACCCAGTGTACCCACCTGCGGAAGAGGACAGTGTCCAAGGCAGGGCTCAGGAGTCACCCAGCGCATCATGACCACGGACTAGCTTTACGACCTTGGGCCGGCTACTTAAATTCTGTGCTTATGTCTCCTCACTTGAAAAGCAGACATAGTTAATAACAATGCCCTGCTCCTGTGGTTGTTATGGAGATCATATGAGCAATAATATACTTAGAATATTTTTTAGAGTGTCTGGCACGTAGCATGAGCTCGAAAAACTATAGTAAAAATAATGTCATAATTATAAGAAAGTTTTGAAGGAGACCTCAGGGATTCCAAATTCTATGCTTCCTGACAAAAGCTTCGCAGGATGGACTCATGGAAACAAAATGAGAGAGAAGAGAATGAGGAGCAGGTGGGTTAGAGGAGGGAAAGGAAGACGGGAAAATTTGCTATAGGGATAACTCAAAGTATAAGCAGCACTGAGGGTGAAGTTTTAAATAACAAATAAAAGATACAAGAAGAAAGCTTAAGTATGGAAATGTTTTTTAAAATTATTTATATATTTATTTATTTATTTATTTATTTATTTGACAGAGAGAGGGAGATCACAAGTAGGCAGAGAAGCAGGCAGAGAGAAGGGGAATCGGGTTACCTGCTGAGCAGAGAGCCCAATGCGGGCCTCGATCCCAGGACCCTGAGATCATGACCTGAGCTGAAGGCAAAGGCTTAACCCACTGAGCCACCCAGGCGCCCTTAAGTATGGAAATTTAATATACAACCCAGAAGTTCTCTCCAAAACCCCTTGCATTTAGTGAGCACGCAGTAGACATATGATTAATTGATTGGTTAATTAAATGTGATTTAACACTGAACTTTGCAGCAGACAACCTGAAGCTTGGTTCTTTGGATAGAGTGAGGGCTGAGAAAAGTATACATTCTTATGGGCTTCTGAATAAAGCTAGAGAAACAATGAAATGGATTCCCTCCCTCCCTCTCTTCTTCCTCCTTCCTTTTCTCACTGTGTCTTTGTATAACTGGAGATTTTTGTTTAAGCCATTTATTGCTACCAAAGATCAAAAACGGGATTGTTGAAACTCTTCCTTATATATATGTTTAATGCTTACATTCTTGCCCATAAATATGCACATTGACCCCTTTTCTTAATAAGCAGGCCCTTGAGTGCAGGTCAACCTATTTTTAACACTGAAGATGAAAGGGAGTTTAATGTGGAAGGCAAGGAAAAGTATTGGCTATTTGGAGTCTTTTCTTCTGACACCTCTTTGGCTAGTTGGCTATTTCACAACCACTGCGACACATTCTAGCCAGTTTTGGATTTCATCACCCTCCTCTCTCTTTCCAGCATCCACAGTGACACCAGAAGTTTCCAAGACTTGTCCAGGGTGAGGGACAGCAGCCACTTTGAAAGGCAGCTCCAGGGACACAAAAAATATTACACAAAAATTACTTGGTGGCAGAAGGGACTTAGGTGTGGCTTTTTGTCAGTCAGCAGAAATCTGACCTCTGCTCTCTCCCCTGTCCTCATTCAGAAAAGATGAACAAATGTAGAACCACTAGTGTCTACTAAAAAGAGACAGCAGAGGAGTGCCAGGCCCTCTGACCTGGAACATTGCCTTCTGTTCCTTTTAATATACTCCTTTAATGGTGCATCTTTTAAATACTGAAGCCAATAAATCTCTACTTTCTTTAAAGTCAAAGAAATTGGAGTTATAATTTTGTAACCGGCAATCATAAAACTGGCAAGGAACTGCTCAGCTCAAGAAGGAAGAGTAAAGCTTTTGAACATCCGAGCGCAACCTGCCAGTTGGTGCAATGATAACGGACTCATGGGCAAAGTCGGGCTGCCCGATCCAAAATCTGCTTTAATTTCATCTCTCAGGAAAAATTCACTCCAAACAGGGCTCACAGATTTAAAAGGAGATTGGTGCCCAAGTTGAGAGAATGCTTGTCACAGGACATGATTTCACTTCCTGTCTCCTGGTCCAGATGATTCACAGTATAGGCTCTAAACCAGGTGTGAGGATGATTCCTATCAGGATTAATTAAGCAGTTGGTCTGGGAGTATTTCATAGGAATGGTAATCACTGGGGACTAGAACAGGCTCACCAAAAACAAGTGCCAGTTGAATCTTACTTCGTTCGAGGCAATGACCTGGCAAGGGATGGAATCAAACAAAAGGCCAAAGAATAGGAAGTTCTGTCATTAGGAATGTTGAACTATTTCCCAAGAACAGAATCTGTGTCTTGAACACAGGAGTAAGGATATGGTCTAAGAGCAGCATGAAAGACTTACAGATTTAAAAAAAATATATATTTCCTCCCAGCTTTATTGAGGAATAATTGGCAAATGAAGCTGGAGGGGCAGAGAGAGAGGGAGAGAGAATCTCAAGCAGACTTCACGCTGAGTGCAGAGCCAGAGGCAGGGCTCAGTCTCACAATCCTGAGATCAGACCTGAGTGTGTTTAGTTAGCATCTAGGACATTGTAGTAGATACACAACAGCAACAAGAAAAAACTATGTTGATTGAGCCCGAATTATGTGGCAGCACTATTCCAAGCACTCCAAGTATGTAATCTGTATAACAATTCATTAATGCATGTATTGGTATTATCTGAAGAGAAATCTTAGGCACAAAAATTTTAAATAACTTCCACAAGTTTCCAGAGTAATCATTCCCTCTAAATCACGAATGTCTTATTACCTGCTACATCCAAAGGGCGCTTCTTAGTTTTTGTCTCTGTAGGTTCTGTTGACAGTTGTTGATACTGTAGATCACTCCTCCATCAAATGTTCTTCCTCTTTTGGCCCCCATAACTCCCCTCTGTCCAGTGTTTTCTTCATCACTGATGCTTTTCAATCTCTTCCTTACTGAACCACATTTTAAATGACAACGATCTCTCCCATTTTCCAAGCTCTCCTTGCCTGGAGAAATACATCCAGTCTCCCCTCTCTCCTAACTCTAGGCTTCCAACTGTAAGCATTTTTCATTACTCATCACATATGACCCAGGTCAGTTTGTGAAACTTCTGGTCTTTCATTCTGTCTCATTTCATTTGGTGCAATCTTGTCAGTTAATAGTTGAAATATTTTTCAAATTTAGATGTTCTTGACAATCAGCTAAGTGCTGATTTAGGCTGATCTAGGCCCTCTTTAGCCTGATCTAGGCCCTCATCATATCTTGCCTGGCTTATGAAAGTGCTTTCTCTACTGGATTTCCCATTTGCAGTTCTCTCTGAAGTTCCTCTCTGAAGTAGTCATATCAGTGGTATATTTCTGCATGCTTGAACATGCACCCCATCATGGCTGTGGGAGCCCTAGCATCCCACTCTCTCTGGTTCCTCCTCCACTGTCTTTTCCCTCCTTTCAAGGACCAGCTTCTGATCTTCCTCCTCCAAGGGTTCCTTTCAGCTGGCTTCCTCACCTTTCTAGTTTTCCCAGGGCTGAGAGTTTACTTCTCTCTTCACTCTCTGCAGTTATCTTTATAACTCTGCATTTTCTCTACTGTTGCAATATCAGATCCTTGAGGCCCCGGCACCATTCGCAGCAGGATTTCAAAGCTTGTCTGTTGGGTGAACACTCTGTGGCATCCTGAAATACCTTACTGCACAGTATGATTTGCTGTGAGGTGACCCTAGCAACAGCACGACCTATGGCTGAATACCAGCTGTAGAGAGTCCACGGTAATCGTTTGTGTAGGGCGTGGACACTAGTTTTTCTTAAAGCTAATAATAATAATTATTATTATATAATTATATATAATATATTTATATTACCTGATCTATGATCTAATATATAATGATAATTGTTATTATTATTACTATTATAATAATACCTTACCCTGCCTCCCCAAGTCTGAACCTGGGCAGGTGATGCCTGTCTGAGTCTCAGGTTTTTCACTACTAAAATGAGGATAAGTTATATAGACCTTGCTGGGCTATCAAGGGAATTAAATGAGATTACATATCTAAAAGACTGTGGCATAGTGCCTCGCACCCTCTCCCATCCGCCCTCCCTCCCCATCCAGGAGTTCAGTACTTCGAAGTTATTTCTGGGCTTATTGCCTGAGATGCTGAAGAGGTGGGTGTGCGAGAGGTGCCCAGAGTTCCCTTCCAAAAAGCTCGGATTCTGTGATACTCTAACTTGGTGGATATGGGAGATGCGTTGGCAATCCCCGGATTGCTAATCAGTTGTTTAGAAAACTAGCCAGGATCCTTGTCCCGGCGTATTTTTCAGAGCCATTTATTTGACCTTAGTTCTAACGAGCAAGCCTCCACCGTCTCCAAAACACCGCCGTGGTCGAAAAGGTCCTGCCCTTGGGAAATCCTTCCTTTGTTGGCAGATCTCGGCGCCGAACCCGCATTTGGGGATCTAGCACCCTTAGGCCCATGGTTTTTGCCCAGACGGCGCTTTTTCAAGTTCGAAGCCACCACTCGGTTCTCCAGATCGGGCGGGTGTGGTCCAAATTGCACCTCTCGCGCCACGCACCCGACGCGCGCTTTGAACACAGGCGGCGAGGGACGGTGGTGGAGGGTGATGGTTTGCCTGAGAACGGAGGGGTGGGCTGGCGAGAATGCCCGGAGCGCGCCTTGCTCCCACTCTACAAGCCTGGGCGCAGCCGCTCTGAGCGCCTGGTCCGGAGCCGAGCCCCGCGCTCCTCCAGGAGCGGGAGAGCGCCCCCAGTCCGCCACTCGCCCGGGAGCCGGGCCCACCGGGATCCCGGCCCGCGGCGCGCGCCCCTGACCCAGCCCCGCCCCCCGGCGGCCGCGTGTGGCGGGCGGGGCGCCGGGAGAGAGGCGCGCGGGGCTGTGCGGCGTCGCCTCCCCTCTGTGCCGGGGGAGGGACGGCGCGGCCGGGCGGGAGAGAGAGAAAGCCCGACCGACCAGCTGCTGAAGAGCTGCATGCAACCGGTGGGAAGCCGGGCCAGCCGGGGAGGAGGCTCGGGCCGTTCTTCGGCTGCTCCCTGACGGCGAGCGCGGACGGCCCGGAGGCGGCGGCTCTGAGCTGGCAGGCGGAGGGTTGTCTCCTGCGCCCGCCTGCCCGGCGCGGTCCGAGGATGCGGGGGGGCGATGCCCGGGGCCAGGGACGCGCTCTGTCACCAGGCGCTGCAGCTGCTGGCCGAGCTGTGTGCCCGTGGGGCCCTGGAGCACGACAGCTGCCAGGATTTCATCTACCACCTGCGGGACCGCGCCAGACCCCGGCTCCGCGACCCAGGTGAGTGCCGCCGCCGCTGCTGGGCGCGACCGGAGGGCCCTGGGCTGGGAGTTGGGGCCGCACCGGGGCCTGAGGCAGAAGAGCGACGCGGACTGGGGCGAGGAGGGGGTTGGCTGCCGAGCTAGAGGAGGGGATCAGGAAGCGGCGCGCCGTGGCCTGATGCTGGACCCGGGCGGGGACCCCGGCGGAGGCCGAGTCCGGGGGGTGGGGGCTGGGGCAAGGTTGGAGGGACCACGCCCGCCACCTGCGCTCGGGTCTCCGGGGCTTCGGGGGGGCGGCTCCCGAGCTCCGGGCTCTGAGCTCCACTTCCCGGTTTCTGCGCTCCGGGCGAGGGGAGGCCGCGGCCGTTTCACCAGCGGTGGGAAGGGGGACGAGGCCGGAGGAAACTCTGGGAAGTTGGGAGTTGGAGACGGCCCCGGCTGCGGCTGAATCCCGCTGGGCGCTCCTCACCTTTGCTTCGGAGTGCCCATTTCCCTTCCTTGGTCTGGGGTGGGAAGGGCGGGGCGGGATCTGGCTCTGGGCCGGCAACCGGGAGCTCCGGGTCCTGGGCAGCCGGGCCTGAACCGGTTCCCAGCGGGTCGTTTGGCGTGGAGGCGGCCTGGGCCTGGGCGCCGCCGGACACACCCGGCTCGGTGGGCTGGCTGGCCCTGGCTGGGGCACCTGCAGTTATCCCTAGTGAAAGTTGCATAGCTCCTAACTTTGGAAACTTCGTTTATTTTGGCATTTGACCAATTAAGGTTGGAAGGAGTTTTAGTGGAGCCATTTGCTTTCCCTAAGGGCCCTGGGTCTCCTACATCTCACCCACTACTGGTTACTGGAAGACACATTGCTTCCATATGTTTACTTGAGATTCTTCTTACCTGGAGAAATCATTTTCTCGAATATTCTCTCAAGCTAAAAAAAAAAATACTGTGTTAAAGATGGGGTGAGAAAATGGCCTTTGCCCCTGATATTCCTGTGTATAAATATTGGAAATGAGCTATTGCATTATCCAGGACAAATTTGCCTATTTTAAGCCAATCCCTTATATATTATATATATATGTTACTTAAAGTCTACTTACACGAAGGATAAGTTAGGAAATTGTTTGATTTATAAAGAGATATACACAGAGCCTGACTTAAATAACATTTCCTTGATAGCGTATTCAAAAATGGGTCTGTGGGGTGAAGAGAAATCATTTGCTAAAAATTGATATCAGATTTTCCCTATTGGAAATCTGTTTCTCTATTGAAAAAGAAAGATTATTGTTCCCCATTGCCTGTGGTTACATTAATTAGGTTTATCGGATAATCCCTAATGTGTTACTTCAAAGTGCAGAATTAAGTCAAGAAATAACTGTTGATCCCAAATGATCTCCCTGGAGGTTCAATGCCCAGCGTTTGCGTGGCTCAATGCTGCCTGTGATGTGCTGCAGAGACCACACATAGGAATCAGAGCTCCTTATTTTATCAACTGGGAGTCCTGGATGATTCCTAAGTGGGCAAAGTTTTCTCTTGAAGCTGCAGGAACAAGAAAATTATTTAGTATGCTTCACCCAAAGCAAATGCTAGTGTTGAAATGTCCCACTTCCTTGCCTGTGACTGCTCCATAAGTTTCCGTTGTTATCCCACATAAGGGAATAGTTGCTTTTTGGCTTTAAAAGAGAAGATGAATGAGGCCTCTTGCTGAGTCTCCTGTTTAACACTCTACATCTTTTTGGCCCATTTTATGTCTCTGCTTCTTTTCATGCATGGGCTGGATTCCATGTTCTTGGGCTTTCCTTAACCCTTGTACCTGGCCGCCCTTGAGGAAGAGTCACAGAAAAAAAAAACTCCTTGCAGGGAACAAATCTGATTCCTTGGCTGAGAAAGAGCCACAGTTAAGAGTAAGCCTTTTGCTAGTCTTTGAGTTCCCGAAAGCACTGTCCTGCTTTCCTCACTGGGGCACAGTGATTTTTTGATAGCCTGTGCCCCTCTGGATCTTTGGTTTGGGTTGGAAGTAGCCTGCTCATGAGGCAGGAGTGGGGAGCACTGTGAGTGCAGGGTGAGAGGGGCTGAGGCCAAAATGCACAGCAGAAGTGCATCCTCTCTCTCAGGGCACTTCAGCTCAGGCCAGAATCTCTCCTCACTTCCCTCCTTCCTCTTGCCTGCAGTAATTCCTACATTAGATGCCTTTATCTCCATCCCTCTGATGCTGTTTGATTATCTGAACCAAGAGTGGCTTTCATTTCGAGCCCTAAAAGCTGAGTGGCTGGAGTAGCTGCATTGCACAACGCTATGCATGGTGCCCTTGCCATTGGCTCATGTGAACCAGAATAAGCCCACGCCACAGCCCCGGGACGTGGGTCCCTGGCACACATAGTCCTCTCTGGAAGCAGATGACTTCCTTTTCTGCAGAGGAACTCACCTGAAGGCCATGTACCAGTGCTGTCTGTCCATTGTCCATCCATGTCTAACTCCGTGGTAGTTCAGTTTTCTCAAGCTCAACTGCAGAACTTTGGCATTAAAAGAAGAAAATGGACATAATTCCCTGTGGGCAGCAGAAGGACACTGCATCTAGGATGTTTGTTCATTTTTTCAGAGGTGGACTACCCTGGGGAACAGACCAGTGGGCCATCTGGAAGGGTTATCCTCTGCCCAGGTTGTTACAGTGCTCCGAGGTGGGAATACAGCCCCTAGTCTTCCCTTAAGAGACGATTTGATGAAGGAGCAATTTTTAAAAGTGAAGCTGAGTCACAATTGGAACTAGAATGCCTCACCCAGCCTTTCATCTGTACCAACTATGGAAAGTAAAGTGCTGATCTTTAAGCTGAGTGTGGGCACTTTTTCGTTTTCCATAGAGAGCAGTTAGAATCCAACATAAAGTGTTTTTATGTTGTTTCATGTATTGGCAATGTGGGGCATACACTTGCAAAACCCAGAGTATAGCCTTCATGACGGAAGAGCAGGGACAGAGGTCCTGAGATTGGGTCGTCCTGGATGTGATTTAAGGAACAGTGAGTTTAAGGGTGACTGGGGAGGGAAAAAGATTATGAATGGCTAGAAATGTGGTTGAGGGCTGGAGCGGAGAGATCACGCTAAGCCATGTCAACCTGTAGAAGGACTTTGGGTTTTAGTCCCAAGGAGAAGGAAGGGGTGGAGAAGGGGCAGCACTGTGGCTGCTTGCTGAGAAAATGCTCTTGAAGATCAAGGACAAAGAGAGAGAAACTTGTCAGGAGGCTGTTGTAGTGATCCAGACAGAGTGGAAAGTGGCTTGGCCAGCGTTATCTTAATGGAAGTGGTGAGAAGTAATTGGGTGTGCACACATTTGAAAGGTAACAGTGCAAGCAAGGATTTGTTGATGGAATGGATGTGAGGGGTGAGAGAAGTAGAGATAATGAAGACTCCAGCGCTCTTCGACCCAAGTAACTCCATTTACTGCAGAAGGGAAGACTTCAGGAAGAGCAGAGTTGGGAGTGGGGAAGGAGATGAGGTTTCTATTTTAATTAAAAAAAATGCTTTTGTACATATTAAGTGTGTGATGTCTCTTAGTTAGTTCAACAGTCACATGAAACATGAATGTTCTTTCACATCAGCAACTGGTCTGTGCTCACATTTTGTAACTGGAGACTTCACACTCTCTCCTCAAGAGGGCCAAATGATTGTAGGACAGCATTTATTGTTAGAAGATTTTTCCTGGTATGGAATGAAGAGCTCTGTTTAACTTCCACTCGTGGACCTTGGTTGCACTCTTTTGCAGTTAAAAACAATGTTTTTTTTTTTTTTCCTTTGGCTATAAGGAGATAAAGATTTTAACTTTTCTTAACTTCCCATTTCCACATCTGGAAAAGGAGGAAGAATTGGATCATGTGACCTCTAGATTTTCACCACGTTTTATTATTTTCCTTGGTAAGGCTTTTCTTCTGTAGGATGCCAGCCACATCTGTGCCAAGTGTTTTATGTAGGTCATTTCATTTAATCCTCATGATGTCTTCCAAGACCTCGCTGCTCCCAATGTTCGTCTGCGGGCCAGCAGCATCAGCAGCATCTGGGAGCTTATTAGAAATGCAGACTCCCAGGCCTCACCCAGACCTACTGCATATGAACCTATGTATTTGCAGGATCTCCAGGTGATTTGTAGGGATGTTCAAGTTGGAGAAATGTGGCTGAGAGAGATTTGTATGTACGGGCAAAAACTGAAGCTCAGAGCAAAACTAGCAGCAAGGCCGTGGGTTCCATTGAGAAAGGGTTGAGTCTAAGTCAAAGTAGCTTCTTAGGGAAACCCATCACATGTACTAAGAATCTGAGAGTTACTGTCAATGAAAATTTCCTAGGTATTTTTTCATAAGAGCCCCCTTTAGACCCACTTTGTCTATTCGATTCTTCTATAAAGGATTTAATCTTTAACTGAAGGTTAAATTCTATGCAGTTATGAAGACTCAGCTTAGTTTATAGGTTATGCATTTTTTTGTTCAGAATACTGGGTTTATATTGGCTTTGTATTTCTAGAGATTTTTCTGGTCTGGGTGTGAAGCAGAGCCTTATGGCTCATCATTAATGATTCCTCTTTTCAAGTGGACTCTAACCCTCTTAGGAAAGCTTTTTCTAGACAAATGGTTTTCAACCTGGGCTGCACATTAAAAACATTTAGGGAGCTCTGACAAGCAAAAGTAAAATGAACGAAAAGCTACCAATGACTGAGTTTTATTCTAGACAAATTTAATCTGAATTTCTGGGGGTGGGGCCTGGTATCTGTATGTTTTTTAAGTTCCTCTGTTGATTCTAAAGTGTAGCCAAGTGGAGGAAGCTGTCAAGACCATCTAGCAAAGGATGAAACCACCTAGTCTTCTCAGCTCATCTCATATCTCTTTCCTGAGAACTTGGGAAAGGTGGTATCAAAAGTCAGGGGCCTTGTAACAGTTACTACACATGCTGACTGATTCTTAACTTTCTTTTGATAGTATTACTCCAAATTTTTATTTTGAGTGTTCTATAAAAATATGATGAGAATCCATTATGTTCACCTAACTCGTGGGGGAA